TTCCAGGAATACTTTTATTTCTTTCTTAATTTCTCTTTTGATCCATTCATCATTCAGGAGTGTGTTGTTTAATCTCCATGTATTCATGTGGTGAGTAGGGCTTCTTCTGGTATTGATTTTAAGCTTCACTGCATTGTGGTCTGATAGAATGCATGGAATTACTTCAATCTTTTTGTATTTGATGAGGTTTGTTTTATGTCCTAGTATATGGTTGATTTTGGAGACAGTTCCATGGGGCACTGAATAGAAAGAATATCCTTTGGTGCTTGGGTGGAATACTCTGTAGATGTGTTAGGTCCATTTGATATATGGTATTGTTTAATTCAGATGTCTCTCTGTTATCTCCCTGCCCTTTTGACCTATCTAATGGAGAAAGTGGGCTATTGAAGTCCCCTACTATTAATGAGTTGGGATTAATCTGGGTCTTAAAGTCCTGTAGTGTTGTTTTTATGAAGTTGGGTGCACCAGAGTTTGGTGAATATATGTTCATGATTGTAATATCTTCTTGATTTATTGTTTCTTTGATCAGAATGAAGTGGGCCTCTTTATCTCTTCTTATTCGTTTTCATTTAAAGTCTATTTTATCAGATATTAGAATTGCAATGTCTTCTTTTTTTCTTAGTACCATTCACTTCATAAATTTTTTTCCATCCTTTCACTTTAAGATAGTGTCTGTCCTTGAAAGTGAGATAAGTTTCTTGCAGACAACAAAAAATTGGTTTTGTTTCTTAATCCATTTACCTAGTCTGTGTCTTTTGACTGGGGAGTTCAGTCCATTGATATTTAAAGTTATTAATGAAAGATGTGCATTGAATCGTGTCATTTTTATTTCTCTTCATATTCTTGATATAGCTGTGCTTTTCCACAGTTATACCTTCACTGAATTTCTTTCTGCAATCCCTTGAGTATAGTCATTCCCTCCTTCAGCTCTTTGTATTGCTTTCAGAACTCTTGGAAGGGCTGGTTTTGTGGACATGAATTCCTTCAGCATATTTATGTCATGGAAGATTTTTCTTTTCCCTTCGACTATAATAGACATTTTGGCTGGGTATAGTAATCTGGGTTGGCATCTGTGGTTATTTAAAACTGGGAATACTTTTGTCTAGGCTCTTCTGGCTTTCATAGTTTGCACTGTAAAGTCAAGTGTAATCCTAATGGGTTTTCCTTTATATGTGACTTGTTGTTTTTCT